CTGTCTGCGGTCAGCTACAATTTGGGAGAGGAGCAGCGGAGCGTCTGTGGAGACGTCTGGAGCCGAGGTATTGAATTGCACTGATTGCACTGTTTTTGTGCAGCATTTTTTGATGCAAGGCCTTTCAGAATCTATAACGCAGGGGTATATTTATTTTTCAGTGAATGAGGTTTTAATAGGAATAGATGGAGTACAACTCTTCTACTTCTGTTATTTGCTGTTGTTTCTCAAAAAAAATGCATAACCATATTACAGCTTTTATTGATTTATTTCAAATTTGAAGCAATGTCTAGCCTGTAAGGTGTAAAAAAAAAAAAGAACCAATTAATCGAATCGAATCGTAACGTGGTGTTTTTTTGAGTATCGAAAATAATCGAATCGTCGGGTCAGGAAATCGATACTGAATCGAATCGCCATGATGGATGTGATTTACACCTCTAGTGCCTGCTTCATCTTTGTTATTAGTCGCCGCTGCTGGGCCTATGGTGACAGTGGGCCGTTGTGACAGCAAATCCCATAATGCTTTCCGAGGAGAGCTGTACGTGCAAAGCATTCTGGGATATATCTGCCTCTTCTGAGGCATTTCTTTTCTTTTCATACACTTCATAGACACTATTTCTTTTACGACTCTTCCGTTTTCAAAGAACTGCGGTGAGAAAGGTGAGCTTCAATGACTGTCTGAAACCGTAGCTCAGCATAGATATAGGCCTGAAAGTGTGCATGCATGGAAAAAGATAGCTACCTGGAGACAAGCAAGTAGTACGGCCTTACGTAAACATATCACCAGAATGATTGACAATTATTTTAGATGATCCGGAAATAAAAAGATCGTCCTCTATACCTTTGACGTTGTGGACTGGGGTTCAGTATTTCGATGATGACTTTCTTCTTGGCCATAAATGCCTCTGGTAAGGTCTTGCATGGCAAACAGGCATTGGAAGGAATACCGTGGGGAGCTCCTCAACCTGCCATCATGTCTTCTCCAGTGGAAGCAAAGACTGGAGAGTCACTCATCAACCAGGCCGAAGTTACTGATGTGGTCAAAAAGCTTTTCTTGGTGCATGAAGGAGANCCAGTGGTAATTGGAGCACTGGTGGCTGTGACCCCCAAACTGGGAGAGTGGCTACAGCAGATTCCAGGTAAAACATCAGAGGTCTCTGTCCAGAAGAGCGCAGTCCTAGGAACAGCTAAGATACTGCACAGAACCCTCAAACTTTTTGCTTCTTTGGTCATGTAACTCCTCCACCATGCGCTGCCTGCGCCATCTTTTTTAATTAGTCGTGAGAAATTAGTAGACCCTAAAGTCCTCGATCACTATGCAATGTGGACTATATAGTGAACTCAGTAAACTTACCGTTCGGACAGCTGATCACTTCCCCGTTTGGTCCACTGCGTGGTGCCTGCATCATCTTTGTTATTAGTTGCCGCTGCTGGGTAGCGGCAGCCTATGGCGACGGCGGGCCGTTGTGACAGCAAATCCGATAATGCTTTCTGAAGAGAACATTGCATGCAAAGCATTCTGGGATATATCTGCCTCTTCTGAGGCCTTTCTTTTCTTCATAGACACTTTTTCTTTTACGACTCTGCCATTTTCAAAGAACTGCGGGGAGAAGGTGAGCTTCAATGGCTGTCTGAAACCGTAGCTCAGCATAGATATAGGCCTAAAAGTGTGCATGCATGGAAAAAGATAGCTACCTGGAGACAAGCAAGTAGTACGGTCTTACGTAAACATATCACCAGAATGATTGACAATTAGGAGGACCACTTATTTAGATGATCCACCCGGAAATAAAATATCGTCCTCTATACCTTTAACGTAGTGGAGTGGGGTTCAGTATTTCGATGATCCCTTTCATCTTGGCCATAAATGCCTCTGGTAAGGTCTTGCATGGCAAACAGGCATTGGAAGGAATACCGTGGGGAGCTCCTCAACCCTGCCATCATGGCTTCTCCAGTGGAAGCAAAGACTGGAGAGTCACTCATCACCCAGGCCGTAGTTACTGATGTGGTCAAAAAGCTTTTCTTGGTGCATGAAGGAGAATATGCCACCAGGCCTGTCCATAACTTTGACTGACAGGATTTCTACGGTTAACCTGGCTCCCTTAGGCCAGGACCTACGTCTGTGGGGTGCTTTGAGTGGCATATCCTCTCCAGGTCCTATCCTAGGGGTCTTCTGCGTGAGTGAGGAGAGAATGTAGCAGAAGTTGGACAGATGGACATGTGTTTACTTCAGTAATCAGACGCTGTAAAGGTCTGTGATGAAGCTCTCGCTTTACCCAGTCAGCCTATGCTCCTTTCCTCACCTTTGGTCATGCAATCTTGGTCATTACTGCTTCTTCCATAGGGTGGTCAGACACTACCTTAGAGATCTTCTGGGAAGGTTCAGAACTTTTCTACAAAAATGGCTCTCTTTGCTTTTTACTGTATTCCTAAAGTCTTAAGGTGTTCACATGAGGGCGAGTAATTCAAGTCATCCTGATGTAAATGCACATTCATGAGAGAACTAACAGTTGGCGATGGGAATTGGACAAATTGTGCGAGTTCAAAAATCTGAAATTTTCTGTCAGTTTGTATGGCTTTAACCAATCAGGGACTAGTGGTGCTTGTGATGTAGGGGGATGGACCGGAGCTTTCTACAGTCACAAACTCTCTGGAGGCTGATGCCTCTCCTGCTGTGGTAGAGTAGCTCCTGATGATGATGGACCCAGTCTGGACTGGTCAGGCTTCTGAATAGCAATGAAAAGGTTTCTTCTCTGCAGTTGGTGGCGGTGAGGACCTGCGGCGGTACTGGTCCGACTACCTGAGACGGACTCACATCCTGGTGTTCGTGGTGGACTCGTCTGACAGGAGCCGCCTCCCACTGGCGAAGGCCGAACTGCACCGCCTCCTGAGGTTGCAGCCACAGTTGCCCGTCGTTGTTTTGGGCAACAAGCAGGTAAACTAAGAGAATGGTTGTTTTTTTTCGTTGTTTTTTTCTTTTCCTTCTTTTAGCTGTCATTTACAGAAAGAACTCAACTATCCAGAGTAAATGTGTTAATTTTTTTGCAATAGGGAGTCGGCAATAAATCCCCAGACATTAGATTAAAAGTATTCATTGATCAAGTAGCTACATGTCATTTCAGCCATCCTGCTAAAATAACCCAACTCCTGGAATAAACATGCCTACACTTCCTCCTCCTCATATTCCTTCACCCAGTGCTCCACCTCTGGAATTATGCACGACTCCTGGCAGGAGGAAGGAATATTTATCACATCAGGCAAGGAGGCAGTGTAGCTTTCATCCCCTCTGTGCTTCGGACTGGCAGGATATGAGCCAAGAATAAATTCAGCTCAGCTACACCAGTGATCCGTAATGATGCAGAAGAATTTCAGCTTCTCTAAGGGTCTGCAGGTGTGAGTTACACACTGTTCCCTCTCTGCTTTTATCTGGGAAATTAATGAGGTGGATCAGACAGAACATCTCCCGAAGACTTCTTAAACTTATAAAACATTAACAGAAAAGCCTTTTTTCATTCAGGCTTTACTGGAAAGATTGAACTTTATACATTAAAGTTTACTATTATACACAATGTTTGGTTTATTTGAATGGAAGGCAGGGAAGTGTTTTTAATCACTGGAGTCAGACACTTATAAAGGTTGTAGCACTAAGTGGTACTTTTCCCTCGCTCAAGTTTGACCTTATTTAAGTAAAATAAATACGAAATAACCCATGTGTTGATTAAAATGTATTCACTAAAAAGGAAGGAGAAATCTACAGAAGCTCTTAAATCTTTAATAGACCGTGTTGGAGGGCTGCAATACAAACATGACTGCTTGTAGATGAGCTTTAATATGGACTGGTGCTGGTGAAGAGATGGGATTTATTGGTCACACCAGGTTATAGATGGAGGTCTATAGGGGTTTAGATGCCTTCGTTTAGTTGGAGATATCAATAACGATGCCTTGATCATGAATAATTAAGGACCTTTTAGGGATTTATGTTCATTAAAACATCATTCCTTTTGTTTCTCATGCTTCCCGCAGGACAAGCATGACGCCCTGAGTGTTGCAGAGCTCCATGATGCCTTGTCTCTGGACGCTGTGACTGACGATAGGAAACTTTTCCTACTCGCTGCCCAGCTGGACGCCGAGGGAGACAAGAGGAGGTCCCGTCAGGGTCTGGACACCGTCCAGGACCTCATCCTGCAGCTCGTCTGATCTCACATCCCTCTGCAACCGGAGGCGAAAGGAGAACTGAACCAAAAGTAGAGCTTAAGAACACGGTTCTCCATTCTCCTGTTTTTGTTGGAGCTCTGTGCTCGTTTCAGGCAGCAGAGGTGGTGAGCTGCAGGAAAAGACATCAGAATCCACTGCTATGGGGCGGGTATACCAACAGGGGAAGAGGAGGAACACAGTAGGAGGAAGCTTTGATACAATCAGGTCAAAATGTCCTAGCTTCACGGAGGAGTCGTTTTTTTTAAATCTTGCATATTTGAACACATTTGCACATTTTTAGCTGCTTTTTCTTTTTGATTTATTTATGCAGAATGAGATAAAAGTGAGGAGAAAATGTAGTTTTCAGACTCATCAGCTTAAGCAGCCTGTAAACTAAATGACAAGTTCTATGAGATCATTCCCTTGGGGGATAATTACAGACTTCTGTATTGGTGTTTTATTTATGGAGATTCAAAGTGGAGCCCAGTGACATTTATTCTTTGTCATTTTACAGCACAGCCCTGCAGCAGCTGTAAAAAATATGGTTCACTTTACATTATTTAAAAGGATTTTCAGGCTTATAAAACGTGCTCTGCAGGAACAGAGGAATCTAATATTCAACCAGAGGCTGCAAAAAGAAGTTTAATATGAACAGGAGTTATGAAAGAACTCAAGTGCAGAACTGTGAAGCTGTTAAAGGTCTTAAACACTGCAGCTCACAAGTTTCATGTTTATACTGGGACTCCATGCAGCACTGAAGGTTCTGTTCTGAATGGACTTCAAGGACAAACTGGCAGAAATCCCAAACTATGGCTGCAAGGACGTAAAAATGTTAACTTGGTCCTTCACACATAGGTGGTTTTGGCCTTTTCTGTTTATTTTAAGTGGCTTTTTTAAAAGATTCTATAATATTCTGAACTTGGTGGTTTTTCAACATCCAGAAACAGATACGATTAAAACTAAGTAAAAAAAAAAAAAAAAAAAGATAAAATTAAATAAGTTTGATCCAAATAAGGTCAAAATGTAGATTTCAAATTCAACTAACTACTACTAATTGAAAAATAGTAGTAGTTAGTTGAATGCCCACTTCAGCAAATGTTTTTTAAACCGAGATCTTGTTGAAATACTCAAAATATTTTTATTTTACTCTAATTTAATCATGTTCCTTTAAAGGTTTCTGTCACCACTTGTTCTACCAACACAAATACCAAAATCTAAAGACATTTAAATAATTTTACACTAAATAAATCACTTTATTAACCTAATACATTTGCAGGTTTTCAATCATTTCTTCAACAAATTGCTGAGATTATCCTTTTACACCCCATTCAGTAAACCAAATTATTCAGGTTGAATTTATGGGTCAGGTGGGGGTGTATTCTCAGCCTCACATCTAAAATGTCATTTATTAGCTAAATAGCTTTCTGTTTTAGTGTTCATGATGTTTTTTCTTCCTAAATGTTGTGCTGGTTACATGTTTTTGTTTAAATAAACTTGACTATATTCCAGTTTGAAATGAAACTGATCAATCTTCTCTCCATATGCAGAATGTTAACAGAAGTCATTTAAATAACGTGAAATGGTTTGAATATCAATTAAGCTGAGTTTTGTCTATACCGAATACAATAGAATGCAAAAGCTAGTTATGAAGCTAAAAATACTATAACATAGAAAAGAAATATTTTATTTTTCTTTTTACCCATAAACAGTATTGAAGCCTTTTAAAATAACATTTTTTTTTGTAGGAATGGGAGTTACAGGTCTTCAGAGCCGCTATTAAAAACAAAAACTAAACTAATGCTACCTTTCAAACTTGTTTTAAAGCATCCAGTGAATGCAATATTTTTCAAGAGTGCAAACAATAAATGGCGTGCATAGAAATAAAGGCCTGAAAGTCGTCTACCTGAACGATCCTTCTATTTCATGGAATATTCTTATTTTCTGAGAGTGTAAATTTGAGGGTTTAATTATAAAAACTACCTAAATGAATTGTTTTGAATGTATAACATAATTTGATGCCCTTTTAGAAGACTGACAGGAAATATTGACAGCAGCTTTTCCACCACCTAGCAGGATGCATCTCTTTAAATTTTAAAAGAACCAAAGGAAAGATATTAATTCTTTGGAAGATCAATTCTCATCTTGGCATCACAAGAAAATAATTTACTCAGATGAAACTAATAAAATCTAATTTTATCAAAACTGGTTGGAGTTCTCATTGTTTTATAAATTCTTTCAATTCTAATTAATGTAAACTGGTAAGACAACCTTCACTACTTTAACAACACTGATCTGAATTAAAGGAAGATTAAACCTGGAGGGTCTCCACCCATAAACATGAAAGCCAGTATAAGCAGTAACGTTATTTGAATAAGTATGTCTGTATCCTATCAGACCACTTTATAATGATCCAGTCAAGGATCAGCAGTTACACGAACCAGATAGAACTGGGAGAAAAGTAAACATCTGAGGAGCAGAGAACAGCTCAGACACTCAGGAAGTTTGGTTATGTAAGGATCAAGCCCCAACAAGGGATAAGTTATCTGGCTGAGAGGCTGTAAACAACTTTTCCTCTGTCTGCTGCCAGAGCAGATCAATGCAAACACAAACCGATAAATCCTATAGAGCTCCATACCTGGCCTGGAGCAAAGTTCTCCAACCGGTAGAACAGGAAGCGTTCAGATTAAAAACGTCAGTGTTTCTACAGCAGGGAGCCAACGTGACCCAGTCAGAGAGAGAGAGATTGTAAATAAATACGATTACTGAAACAGATCATTCACTATGTTAGTGACATTTAAGGTCCCGTTCACCAGTCAGTAACAAGTGTTTATAGGTTTAATCTGCAGAATTAGACATGAGAAATACTTTTATCTTTACAAGCTGTATGTGAATTTAATCTGTTTATTAGAGTTCAATGAGGGGAAAGCTAAAAACTCAACAAAATCTGTGTCCTGTAAATATTCATAAGGTGGGTACAGGCTTTTCCCCGAACGCTTATAAAAAAAGGTGATGCAGGAACTGATTCAGAAAGTTTTTTTTTAGCAATGAATAAATATTTGCTCTCCAGCCAATCTGATAAAAAAAAATGCAGAAAACATATTAGATAAAAGGTAGAAATGTATTTGGAAAAGTCACAGATCACTTTTTTCCCCCAAAATAAAAGCATCAATTGGGGTTAAAGGAGGAACAGACGTGTTTTTAAGAACATGACAGGGTTTGAACTCCTCTCTGGAGGAACTTCAAAACCATTTCTAAGGAAAAGGTTTTAGAGACACAGTCTGGATCCTTCAGGTTGCTTAGTAACTGAATTTCTTCAGCCACTCCTTCAATTCCTTGGTGGTATGTTTTGGGTCATTGCCATCTTCTCTGCTCTGGTTAATTAAAAGACACATCAGAGTAAAGATCTTCTGGGACGAGTCTGAGTGATGATGTCATCCTACATCCTTTACAGAAAACGGCATTGAACGAAATATAAGCAAGTCAGTTTCATTTCAAATAGTATATTCCTTTGATTATAACAAGTTAAGACAATTTATGAATGGAACAAGAAAAAAAACCCAGCTCTATTATGTTCAGTAAATAACTACTAACCTTATTTTAAGGGCAGAAACACACATTCCATTGGAAGATCTTATTTAACTGCCCAAACTGAGGGTGAGCACACTTTATCGGAATTCTAACTTATTTCTAGATCTGTTTTTGCACAATAAAGTGATTATGATTCCTCAAATTCATAATTTTTCTCATCCCAAAACCTTGCATTGGAACTGTACACCTATGAATGACTGAAGGTTATTTTTCTCCCTCAATCACCGCCAGCTTCTAATAAAGCTTCCTGCTGATGTTCTTGCAGACAAATGGCGTCTAGCTTATGTCTAACCATCTAGTCTCCCTGTCCTCAGGTCTGCTTATGGTAGCAGAAAGGTCAGGATTCTGAAACTGTTTGAGATCTAGAGAAGTCGTGACTCAGCTGCTATTAGCTTAACCAACCCAAAGGAGACATGACTTCAATATCATAACAGAAAAAGAAAAACATTGTCCAGCACTGGGAGCCTTTTAAAGTAAGATCAGGTAAATATTCCTCCAACACAATAAAAAAAAACTGAAAAGTTGCTGCTGGTTCATCAGCCCCAGTTGTCCATGTTCTCCAGTGTTCTGTCCCAGATCCGATCCTCCTACTGGTCCATGGGCTGCGGAGCTGACAGCGAGCTCATGAAGGCTTCATAGTGCTGCTGGTGGCAGCGCTTGTACTCGTTGATTTTCCTCTTGATCTGTTTGGGCGTGTCCTGGTAGTAGTTCTTCTCATCACGAGCCATCGCCTGCAGGGACAACACAAAGGGACAATGTGGAATCTACAGATAATTTGACACCCACCTACCTCTGATGCTTAGCAAACACAATAAATATCTGATTTAAATTAAGCTTTAAAGGAAATTTAAATCAGAATTGTTCTAATAATTCTAGAATTAAAGGGATCAGACTTTTCTTTCAGTTTCACACCCAATTAGAACTAATCTAATAAGCATGAAGTAGGCATAAGGACTTCAGAAAGCCACAAATCCAAAGAAATTCAGGAACAGATCAGACTAGATTCACTAAATGTCCACCGTAAAACACCGCCTTTCATGAAGTTAGATGATTTTTAATGTGACTTATGATCCCATTAGAAAGTTGGGAGAAAATAACTCATGAATTACTATTAAGGCAATAGATGGAGGTTATTTAGCTAATCGAGTAATGTGATGCTATTTTTTCAAATTTCGATAAATTAAAATCCAATAGAAAATGTACCCAAGTTTTTTTTTTTTTATGAAATTTGATCCAAGTGAATCTAAAACTTCCATAGTTGTAGATTTACAGAAAAAAAATTAGTTTTACAACAGTCTTCATAATTTCTGTCAGTAATAGTAATTCTGATATTGATACAAAGGCTTCAAAATAGTCCTCCAATGTGGATAAATTAAAACACTTCAGTAAAGGTTTGTTATTATTGGACCTACCGTATGTTCATTTGGTAGCAAAAAAAAATAAAGCAGTTTTGGGTAATCAACCAACAAAGCTTCCCTTAGCAAAGCAAATGTGTTCAGCATAGCACTGTACTCAGATATCTTTCCTGCTGCCATAATGCTGAACAGGCCAGAGTAAAGAAAAGAAAAAAAAACATTCTGGAAAAGGGGTCCAGATTTGCACAATTCTGATCTAAAAAAAAACCATTAACTATTATTTGATGAAACAATTTGTTTGATTTACCTTTTGTTTTAGGACCTAAAACATTTCAGTGTCATTTACAAAAAAAGCTAAACTAGCAAAAAAACTACATCTAAGCTGGAACAACAGAAACCATTTAACTGAGGAGTCTAAAACCCCCTTTCACATCTTTGTACATCAAACATCTTTTCTCTTAAAACAATCACCACGACACAGAGCAAGTTTATCCGTTTTAAAACCTTATGTCCAATTATTTATTTCGGCTTTAAATGCAAAAACTTAACGCTGACGAAAATGTGTTTTTTTGTGCTCAATGCCCTTCATCTTTGAGCTACAAACTCCTGTGAGATAGAAAAGGATGCAGCATTTTAACTCTGATAAGTCTGAAGGTCGTTTGATTCCCTCAGATTCCTTTGCCTGGTCTGTGAAGGTCGTCACCAACACAACGTCTTAAACAGGCAGAGTTGAAGAGGCTCAGATAACTTCAGAAGCAGAATGTCACTAAGCTCTTTATTACTGCTTTTAAAGTTGCCCTTTATTTCTGTTATGGTTATAAAAATGAGGCCAAATCTTCCTCTGAATCAAGACAATAATCCTGTAAGCATATTTTTTATGCCTGTTGGGACGAATAAAGCTTCAATTATAAAGTGTGTTTGGGCTGTTTGATCAGGGACACTTTTTATTACGGAAAGCCTTTTCTTCCTTGACTCTGAACCTTGACGTGCCGCAGCTGATTGTGTAGCGAAGCGATGACGACAGCAACTGATCCAGAGAAGGTGGAGTCCGAAGGACTGATGAAATCCATTCCAGTGAGCAGCCACAGGTAGCAGTCTGTCCTCGATTATAAAGCAGACACTGTTGCTACGGAGATTAGCTGAGCATCATTGTACTTTCAGTCTCACATGTCCTTGAGGCCGTTGGCTTCTAAGCAATGAGACAAAATGACGCTAAAGCAGCGCAACGAGCCCTGATCAGCACATCTCCACCTCCGTGCTTAACAGTGGGTGGGATTTGTTTATTCTGAAACTTGACACGGCTGTCAAAGCTCTCTAATGTTTTGGGGGGGGGGGAGAAGTGACTCTGCCATCGTAGGCTGTGTTTCTGATGGGAACGAGCTGAAGTGTCGACATGTCATCATATGCTTTGTGGACTGGTGTGAGAAGAACCATCTGTGTCTTAACACCAGTAAGACCAAGGAACTGGTGATGGACTTCAGGAGAAGACCTCCACCTCACTCCCCTGTGAACATCCATGGGCAGGACATAGAAACTAAGGAGAGTTTCAAATACCTGGGTGTTCATGTCAATAATAAACTGGACTGGGCTCATAACACCGACGCCCTAAATAAGATGAGACGGCTGAGGTCCTTTGGAGTGAGCAGTCCCCTGCTTAAAACCTCCTAGGACTCTGTGGTGGCATCAGCCCTCCTCTACGCTGTCGTGTTTGGCCCCTGGAAGCGCAGAGCGGGACATTAAGAGACTGAAAAAACTGGTGAGAAAGGCAGTTTCTGTCTTAGGCTGCACTCTGGACTCAGTGTAGGGGGGTGCTAAGAGGAGGGTGCTGTCCAGGCTTACAGCCATTATGGAACCAAGGATTCCGCCCTCTGCACCAGTCTGTAGAGGGCTGAGCAGTTTGTAGAAAGGAAAGCTACCTCAGGTCTTTCATCTCTGCCGCCATTTCTTCTTGTGAACACTAAGAAGCCAACTAAGGCCTGATGAATCCATCATAGAGATCTTGAGTATTTTTCTGTCTTTTATATGAATGTGAATATAACTCCTAAAGAGATGTTCTATGAAGCAAAAGGTCAATGCCGTTGCCATAAACCTGGTAGATGATTGGATGTCCTGAGAGGATGTTATACAGAGATGATGACGAATTTACATTATTACATTGATGGACAGATGTACATAGATAAATTGGTGGATAGCTGGAACAAACAAACAGCCATTTGGATTAAATGGAAAATGGATCAAAGGACAGATGGATGGAAAACAAAGTCCAAACTGCATCAAAAACAGGTCTGCGGAGAAGATTATCAGGCCTGACCTTCCTAGATCTGTACAGCCAACATCTATGCAGACCGCCAATATCCATAAACTGTTTACACTTTAAGATTTGACTATGCACTACAGAGCAGCTCATCAGAAAACCAGCCATCTCACCCCCCTCTCTAATTAACACCAAGAACATGAACACGTCCAAGGTCAGAGAGATCATAGCTGACTTCTGGAGATTAAAGCGTCCTGAGGAGACTGAGAAGAAGGAGTCTTCAGTCTCTTGGAGCTCCTGAGAAAAGTCTTTTTTTCCCACAGAGTGAAAAAAGATCAGAAAAACAAGAAAACTAAAATATTTAAAGGCAGCATTTCTACCTTATAATTGTCCTTATGTTCTCGGATCATGTGCTGGACGTACTCGATCAGGTCAGACGACAGCGTCTTGCAGTCCTTCTCCTTAAGGCTGGCCTCCTCCTGCAGCTCTGAGGGTCACCAAACAAACATCGATCTCAGAAGCTCTAATTATTGTACGTAGTGACTAAACCTTTTAGTTATTGTAATATTTTAAATCTTTATATAAATAAAACTTATGTTAGGCAATATTTTAAAGGGTGTATTTATCTGTTTTCCATTAGGATTTGAGAGTTGTTAAATACTCACGGTTAAGGATGTATGGTTTGGTGACGATCTGGGCAGGCCTGTTATCGTCTTCTCCAAGGAGCTGCAGGAACCAAAACAAAAAGTCTAGGAAGTGTTTTTCTCTGTGCTGTCATTTCAGAGCACAAACGGATCACTGGGTGGCTGACGCAAGATAAAACCCAAAACGCTGCTGGAAAACAAGCTGCAGCTTGGATTAGAATGCTGTAACAGCAGCAGAGAGAATTGCTGATTCATTACAGCTCCGAGAAATAAAAGGCTTCTTTTAAAAAGAATTTCTCTTTTGATGATGTAAATAAAAAAAAGTTTATAAATTAGTTAGGAAATATTCATTTTTGGGAAGCAAAGCAAGAAATAATCTGTGTAAAATCTCAGAATTTTAAGGCTTCAAAAACCAACACTGCGTCGCCCTCTCCTGGCAGATATCCTAACTGCAGCATCACAGTTTCTATATAGCAGGATATTTCCTGATTGTTTTTCCAAAACCAAACTTAGGCAATCTGAGAAGAATGTAGATCAATGTTTAATACATTTTCAAATCTGAACAATTGTGTTCTATGACATTTAAATAATTCTCATTTGTTTTTAACTAGTACAACTTTGTATATACATCAACTAGTGATGCAACTTGGACACATCATCAGTGATGTTACCTGGTATCATAGAGTGTTTCGGGTCTTTCAAAGAAAAAAAACTAGTACAACAATTTAGGTAGTATCTCTAACCTTTGCAAATAAAACTATAGAGGGCCTCTGAATGGAGATTTTCTTCTTACCGTCTGTTTCTTTATGGGGAGTGACCGGTTGGGATCAAAGGACAGACCCATCTCCTGCAGGTTCCTGGCCGTGGACTTGTTGTCATCCCAGGCATTACGGATATGTGCACTGAGAGAGAGAGAAAAAACATTCAAGACAGCCTGGCTTTGGAGGAAAAGATACAGTTTTGTCACAAAGGAGCATCTGAATTGTTCCAGAACAGTCCCTAAGAAACATAGAAGGCAAGAAGAGGGAACTGATAAAAAACTAATTATAAAAAAAAATACTTAAGCACTCAGCTGTCTGTATTACATCCAGTTGGAACAAACAATGGGTCACTTTTATTTAAAAGGTTATATATTTTCTATTAAAGCTACACAAAGAGGTTAGGTGAATGGTTGTAAGATACTTTCATTAAATGATCAATCTGTGATTTCCTCCCTTCGCCATTATAGATGAGTGCAGGAATGAAGAAGGTCTTTGCACCTTAATAGAGGAGGATGTAACGATGGCTGAAGATTTGGTACGGATGTTGAAACTGATGAAAGAAGCTACACTAGCAATGCCAGAAGATAAGCAACAAACTGCCATCAGTCAATCACTTCTCGCCCTGCTGCATGCTGCATTCACCCCCAGTCTCGAAGGCTGCTGTAAAGGATAACTTGGGACAAGGTGTCTATAATTGTATTTTCTTTTATAGTAGGATTTTCTCTCATATTCCATTTTGTGTTTATCTTTACTGTTAGAAGTTTTTGTATTCTCCAATACATGATTGAAACAAGAACACCTTGTTTGTAGCATCAGCACTGGATCCTCGCTTTAAGGCCCTTCTTTTCCTGTCTGCTGCCGAGCAAAATGGCACCTTCTACAGGCTGCAGACTGAGGCTGCCATTGCTCCATGAATGCATGCTGAAATGTTTTTATTCAATAAAATTCATTGACGATTAAACAATGGAATAAAACTATGGAATAATATTACTTAACTTAAGAATTGAATGATTTTCCATCTTTTCATGTTTCCTGTCTTATTAACCAGCAAGAAAATGATGAAGCAGATAAAGTAGAGGAGGACAAACCAGAAGCAAATGTTGGCTAATTGCACTGATGCAATGTTCGAGTTGAAGTACAGTTTCACAGTTTTACTCTTTAGAAATGTGCACGTTTGAGACTTGAGACAGTTTTGTTTATGTCTCAGCTTTAAACTCTCCAGCTTACAAGTCTGCACTTTTTGAGGAGAAAATGAAATATCTATTTTGTAACACAGTAGAGCCAGTTTCATTGCTTTAAGAACTGATTGAATCGAATCAAACTGAATCGAAATTGAATCAATTCAGGCCAAAATACCCAGCCCTACTGCTGAGTGTGTACTCAAAATAAGACAACTTTTTCAATATTCTTACTGATGAAGGGGAGGTGTGAGGTGGGTCTGTAGTTCTGAAGGACCAATTTGCCAAAGCTTTTTTTTTTTTTTTTTTTTTTTTCATATTTACTGTTTTTTAAGCTGAAAACCAGGAAAACAGCCAACAAAGGATTCTAAACAGGCATAACCTTCTTAATAAAACCTGTTGGTAAAACAATAAGACGGCAGGAAGAGGAGCTCAGCTGCTGAACAGTTTATTCTAAACTTTTGCAGTTGATTTGGCAGAATTGGGACATTTTAACAGAATTTATTTAAGGAGACAGCCTTGGCACTGGAGTTGGCATTGATGTGCAGACTGCTTTTTCTAATATTGTTTCAGTAAAAAATATGATAGGTGGGTTTGTTAACCTGTCAACTGTGGCAAATAAGGCACTAGCATTGTTAATGTTTTTGTGGATAATTTCAGAAGAAAGATTCTCTTTAATCTTTTCACTGTAAATTATGTTTTAAGTTTATCTTTATAGACTTTATGACCAAGAGAAACTTTAAAGTGGTGCCACTAACCTGCATCACCATGATGTTTAGCTCATGCAATCATAAAAATGTATACTTATTCCTTTATTTGTTCTGATTTTACATGGAACTATAAATAAGTTTATAATCAAATCAAATCTCAAAATTTATGTTATGTTGTTCTTCATTCCAATAACATTCACTATAACTGTTTTGTTTCAAGGACAAGTCACCCCAGATCTGACCTGTAGGTCTTTTAGGTTTAGGAACAGGTCTAAAGTAAACCACAGGAAAGTTAAAGTGATAAGAGTCATTTTAGCAGCTTTTTCACCAACCCTGATGCTAGCTAGCTAGCTAACAACCGTTGGTTCGGTTCTGGACTCACTGCTCAATCCTCGGCTTTGACTTCTTTATGAACTTCTTCTTCAGTTTCTTTCGGTCCGTGTTGTAGTTGAACTTATGTCTTCTCTTTGACTGTTTGACTTTCGGCATTTTTAAAATTTAAAGTCTGTGTTAGATATTAAACAACGAGAGACTCACGCCGAGAATCAAACACAAACGTGCAGCTGGAAACCGGAAGCACGTGTTTGCGTCCATTACGTCGACAGAGTCACGTGACAGGAAGCCGAGCCTATTCACTTTTTTATTTTATTTTTTCACGAAATAACGCTTGTAGATTAAAACAAAAACAATAGCCAAAAGAAATTAAAAGGATACATAGAAAATAAAATACCATAATATTAAATATACCAACTATATGTGTATATATATATATATATATATATATATATATATA